TACTAGAAATAATTAGCCATTTTATATACTTTTCTTTGAAAGTTTCGAGCGGTGGAAACCTATGTGACGGCTTAAAAATGTCTACTTTCATTCGTATTTATGAAATTTTATACCTCAAAAATAGATATGTGACAGCTTAAAAGGTCTACTTATGAAATTTTATACCTCAAAACTAGAAGGGACAGATCTATAAATGCTGAAAAAAGAAATCAAAGTAGATACTCTAGATAATGAGATATAAAATGTACTATTTATAGAATTTTGAATCTTGTTTTTGTAAAAAAAAAATATCCAAACATCTTGTTAATTATAAGGTTTTTCAATATTCAAATAACATTTCAAGTGGATTTTGAAGTAGACCTTATCCCTACAATACAAGGTGGACATCTTATATAAACTTTTTTCTTAAAAAATTGCAATAATCTTTGATGAGTTGAAATGAGGGTGTAGTTTATACAAAGTGGTGACCTTGCACGAAGTCAATGCACATCCAAATATAGAATATGTAATTTTGGTGTAGCAAATATTTATCTTCATCATCATCTTAGTCTTATTCCAATTATGTGAGAAACTTTTATAATAGTCTAAAATTTTTATTTTTACTTCTGGCTAGTATCTCATAAAATAACTTCATGAGATCTCGACAACCTTTAATACTGATATTTCAGATTTACATGACATTGATTTGTTTAAATGTTAGTTTCTCACTCTAAATACTATATGAGATATTGGCATTCTTTTAATACTGATGTCACACTGAATAAATTGTACTAGGGCTCTCACACACTAACATCTCACTAACTAATCATCTCACTAACTAAGTCACCTATAATATTGGCTTTTTGAAACACCAATATCTCACTAGGCATCCATGAATATTGGTGTTCATAGTTGTAAGTCGCATGTGAGCTATTTAAAGTGAGATTAATATTCTAAAATACCAATATATCCTATGCATAATTTTCTTATAAATAATTTTAGTTTTGATGGGATGGGTGAAATTTAAGGTTATCCTTCGGTCGATATATGCCTTATAAAAAATTAAATTTTGAAGTATTTATAAAGTGTTTCATCTTTATCATATGGGATTGTCTATAAAGAGATCATTTATTTTTTTGTATATGGAGGTTATGATCATTCTTGTCCGTTACATTTTAAAGTAAGTAGTTATAAGAATTTCATTGAATAAACATAAAATTCTAAAAAAAATATTATTCGACGTCATAATTCACCACATGCCATCCAATTTGATATTTAATAAACGGAAATGATTATGACCTCTATATACGAAAGATAAATGGTTTTTTCAAACAATCAATTGTCATATATAATCTCATTTATGTTATTTTACATTTTTTTTGCATAATATAGAATACCCTATGTTTGGAACTCAGAGTTTTTTTCTTTTTTCTTTTCTAAATGGGAGATGAGTTTAGATCTTGAATTCCAACTTCAAACATTTCTATCAAAAAATACACATGTCATCAATTCTGTACGGGGGACACTTGTCTATATTTTTTAAGTGAATATGAGGTTCAAAACTTAAAGATCAATCTTCAAAAAAGATAAAAAATAAAAAAATATATTTTTTAAGTGAATATGAGGTTCAAAACTTAAAGATCAATCTTCAAAAAAGATAAAAAATAAAAAAATAAACAAGGAAAAAACATAAAGTATTAAGCTTGAGAGATTTTTTTTTTTTTTTGGTAGTTTAGTCGGAGTTTTCTATCTTTAATAAGAATGAAACTCAATACATCACATTATGGTTCTTTATCTACCTTTGTGCTCATTCCTTATATTTTTAAATATAACATAAAATAAAAGTTGTTTACGTTTTCTTAAGTAGGACAAAGGGAACGCTGAATAGTGTCTCTAATATGCTCCATAACAGTAAGATATTATCAGCCGATAATGTCCAGTCTGAATCAAATAGTGAAGGGTTTGGTTTTTATCTGCTGATATTGTCCAGTCTTAATCAAATAGTGAAGGGTTTGGGATTTACAAGGCCCAGGCACTATATAATCAAAGTAAGGTGCACCTTTAAAAAGTGGTAAAAGATATTGTTTCAGTACTGAAAATTTTTGTGATGGCCTAAAAATTTATTTTTATCTCTATTTACAAAATTTAAAGCTTAAAAAAATAGTGTATATTGAGTAGATCTATGAACAAGATGATATCAAATAGTTGTAAAAAGGTTTTGACAATGATAAGTACATCTATAACAATTGAAAAACTTTTAAAAAAATACATTACAGATACACTATTTCCTAGACATGAAATCTATTCATCTTAGGTTGAGAGGATCCACTTGAGGATTTTTGAGCATTAAAACAACCTCTTCTGATAATGTTTTGATATCTAGCTAAATTTGATTGTTTAGGGTCTCACCGTTGAATAAACGTTTTGTAATAGTGAAAGGCAGTCAACTATGTGATTTTCGATTTGAAATCATGTGTAGCAAAAATTTCCGTCCAATGGAATCGAAATGAAAAATTGTCAAATGCGTGATTTGCAAATCCGCATATTTAGCTCAAATTTAATCTTGTCCAAACCATGCTTTTTTTCCGTTTTCAACAATATTTTTCCGAACCTCCCAAATTTTTATTATATGATAAAATCGGAAGTCATCATCATCGTCATCAAAGCTTTTTTCAAGTATATACATGGATGATGTCAGCCCACTGTTACAGTGTCATCCAATGACCCAGATTGAATATCGACCGTTTTGACGGTTACGATTTTATTTCGTATTAGAATTTTCATTTTCTTTCTACAAATCCAAATCACTTGAAAATTTAGACGTACATTTTACTCATCAAAACACACCTAATAAAAATATAAAAAAGATAATTCGTAAAATATAAATAGACCAAAATATTCTCGCAACGTTTCAAACCTATTTTGGTCAATTTTCATTTTACGAATTTTTTTTAAAATATTTTTATTAGATTTTATTATTTTTTAAGAATAGGCTTTCCAAATTTCAAGTGATATAGATTTGTATAAAAAAAATAAAAATTCAAATACGAAATAGGATCGTGACTATTGGATTGGACCCATATTCAATCTTGACCGCTGGCTGATGCTGTAGCTGTCAACCAGTGAGTTGATGAGATCTTTTCTATAGAATAGTAGAACTTGAGATGCAGTGCTATTAAAACCAGCTGCTACCGCCTTGACTTTAGCCCGATTTCTTTTTTTTTCTAATAATTTGTCATAAAATATATAGCTTATTCTTTGCTAATTATTTGAAGTTTCTGCTGTGATTCTCTTATTGGAACTATGAATTAAATTGTTGTGGATCACCGAGATCATTAGCAATCTCACTTTAAATTTGCCTATCTTAGGGGAAATATGGTTATTTGAATTTGTCATTGAAGGAAATGGACCCCTTTCTACAAGTTTATAGAAACCTTAATTATTACAAACGATTGTGCCTCGATTCCTAACTTTCAATCACGATTTCCTTATGGCAACTCATCACTTAATTTTCACTATTTATACCCAAAATTTGGAGAATATTGTGCATTATAGTTCAATAAATTTTTTTTTGGAATTTCTACAAATGTGAAAATTTCAATTATTTTGGAATCAAAACTAATTGTTACAGAATTCGAAAAGTATTTAATGAAAAATCAGGAGACTTAGAGATCGTTAGAAAATGATGTGCTAGGAATTTTGATAGTCCGAGATCGTTAGAGCATATTTTGGTTTATTACGGGGTGTGGTTTATATAGGGTTGAGGCTCAAACAATCAAAGTAAGATACACCTTAATAGTGTAGGAATATGTTTTTTCGGTACGGAATATTTTTTTTTATGGCTTAAAATTTTATTTTTATATTTAATTATAAAATATAATGCTTCAAAAATATTGTAGATCGAGCACACCTACATTTGAAAAATACATTACAAGATGCACTATTTGAGAGATTTGAAATCTAATTTTTTCTCGTCTATACAACTTGCGGTCGAGATGCTTGATTTGAGGGTTTTTGAGCATAAAAATAACGTTTTCTAATGAATTTTTGAGGGGTCCCTTAATTTAATTTTTTAGAGCCTCGCTCTTAAATAAATCTTTTGTTTTATTATATTCCTTAACACAACCTCCATTTTGTTTTGGAAAAAGTTTATAAAAGTGCGATTGGAAAAAGCTTATAAAAGTGCAAGGCTCTAAACAAGTAAATTAGGGCGCACCGCACAAATCTTACTAGAAGAAGAGGTTGTTTTGATGCTCAAACATCCTCGAATTGATAATGCATGAAAATAGATTTCAAGTTTTGAAAATAGAGCATTTTGTAATGCATTTTTTGGCTGTTAATTTTCAAAATTTTCAAATTTTTATAGATTTGTTCAATGTACATATGACTATCACAAAGATTTCTAATATTCAAACCAGATTTCTCTTATACTATTTGAAGGTCTGATTTACTTTTTGATATTTTAGGGCCCTCGTTCTATACAACAGGCATCCTTTTGTTTATATCATAGGGGTGAGGTTTGTATAAGGTGAACACCTTACACTGTTGATGTAAGGTATGCCCCAAAACTATATCAAAACTACAATTTCAGTGCTATAAATCCTAATGATGATGATATGAAAGCTATTGTTGTCCTCAATTATCGAATTTAAAATTTCAGAAATAGTAATGATCAAGTAGATCTATATTTGAAAATATTGAAAATGAATAATTCAGATAATATGTTAAAAGATGAATTATTTTTAGGACTAAAAACCTGCTTTTTCTTATATCCGTAAATCTCGAGGTAAAGATGATCGATTTGAGGTTTTCCAGCATAAAAACAACTTTATGTAATGGATTTTTTTAGGTGTATTTTACCCGTACAGTATAAGGCTGACACCTTGCATAAACGTTTCCCTCTTTCAAAAACCTCCTGCGGGGTATTATAGTCATTTTCCTTCGTGTAATAACCAGCCCTTTGCGCCCTTTTTAAAGACCCCTTACTCCAGCTCGTTCACACCCCTTCCCTTCCCCTCCCCTCCCCCTCTCTCTCTCTCTAAACGTCTCTCTCTCTAGCGGCACCGCTCCCACTCTCTCTCTCTCTCTTAAATATTACTTGCTTTCACCAGGATCATTACTTGTAGATCAGAACTTTCAGAAGAAATGATGCCTATAGATCTCACCCATCATCACCATCGTCATCATGAACATGGTGATGATGATGGTTCAGCTCAATCCCATGTACTTTTGAGGCACCCCATCATACGAATCTCTTGGAACTCTTCTCATGATCATCACAATCATGAAGATCATAAACATAAAAATGGTTTTTTCTCAGAGAAAGAAGCAGCAGTAAATGCAAGAGGGAAGCGTGCAACTTCATCAATGGAGGGCTGTACTGATGATAGTACCAACGTTAATAATCTAGAAGGGAGCACAACTTCAATATCTGTGGCCATGTCCAGAGCAATAAGAGCCTGTGTTGACTGCAACACCACCAAGACTCCATTATGGAGGACTGGCCCTGCAGGCCCCAGGGTATTCTTCTTTCACTGCATTTTAATCTTTTTTCCCTGCATTTAGAGAGAGATGGTCATTGAAGTGTTATTTGTTATGGAAACCAGGAAAACCAGGAAAACCCACTTTAATGGAGTCATTTACTGTTCACAAGTAAAACCTCTTTAGGGGGACTGATTGAGGGGTGTAACAGTAATTTTCTGTGTATCTTTTTCATAATTGAGGGGTGTAATAGTATTTTCTGTGTATCTTTTTCATATTTTTTCTTTTGTTTTTTCTAAGGAATTTGTGTTATTTGTTTGATGGTGGGTTTTGTGATTGCAGTCTCTTTGCAATGCATGTGGCATAAGGTACAGGAAGAGGAGGAGAATGGGTTTACTGGAAAGCGGTTTTGGAGGACCAAACGCGGTTTTGAAAAAGGAGAAGAGCAATCAAAAGCGGTTTGGTAAGCGGTTTTTGTGGGGAGAGGAGGAACAGGCAGCGGTTTTGCTGATGGCCCTATCATGTGGGCTTAATGAGAAAAAGATGGTTGAGTTGGCTAGTTTTGTCAATACGTTCTATGGAGTATGAGGGGCAACAATGTTAATAATTTGGTTGTTTTTGCCCTTTTTTATTAATTTTTTTTGAGGTGAATGCAATATGTTGAGATGTGGGTTGTTTTTTTTCTTCCAATTCTTGTGTGCTGAAACAAGAAAGTGGAATGCAAAAGAGAAATTGAATAAAAGGAAGGTTTGTGTTTTTGTTTTTGTTTTGTTTGATACAGTCATGAAATACATCTTTATTTATGTACTCTATGATTGATCAAATCTTAAGGCATCCTTCGATTTGGAAAATCATCAAGTATGCATTAATGTTCTTTGGAATCTTGGCTCAACAAAAATCTTCATTTTTTTCATTGCATTCGATATTGGAGATCTCTGTGGCCTATAACAATTTAATTTACTATTCCATTTCCAATTATAAGAGCGATATCTATTTAATTCCTTTTTTGTTGTTCATCATCAGGGATATCCAATAAAGGAAAAAGTTAAGTTTATATGGTTTCATCCAAAGAGCCTGGCAGTTTTGATGTTGGGAGAATTATCTAATTGATGTCTGTGTGAATATAGAAACAAGAATGATTTTAAGCCCTATAAATAGTACATAATAGTACATCTTGCAATGTATTATGTCTCTCGCACCTTTCAAAAAATTGTTGACATTAAAATTACATCTACTTCTCATGGTAAACTTAGAAGTACATGTTATTTTGATTGTTTGAGGTTACCAATCCTAAGCACACCACACCCTTTTCATATTTAATTGATCAACGCCATTTTGAAAACACCCTTTTGATATCTAATCGATCAATAAAGGGCCGTAACCTACACAGGGTGAGATAAAAACAGTCTTAACTTTTGGCTTTTTATGCGTAGAGTGATTGCTCTTAAGATTCGAACCTTAGCTCTTGCACTGGTTACCCGATCAATGCGATTTGAAAAATCTGAGTCTATGATTTGTCCATTTTTGTAGAGAATCCTTTCTTTTTCCTATGTTCAAATTTCACATGCATTATATCAACAAAACCAGAAATGATTTAATTTAACTTTGGGTTTCAGTCCTTGAAATTTGGGGTTTAACAATTTGAGACTCTTCGTCAATGGTTACCTTGAAGTGGAGCTAAGAACCCATACACGAGAACCTCGAGTTTACCACTTCGCTTCCTTTTCCTGTGTTTTGTATTGACGAATAAATTCTTTCTTTGATTCGTCTCTTTTGTTTTCTTTTCATTTTCCATTCAGAGTGATGTTTCAACGTGAGTGATAAAGAGATTTTGTTTTGAGAGAACTAATTAAAGGATATTTTATGAACCCTGCATATTACAATATACACAAGTTTAAAATAAGACCTATGTCTTACGGCAAAGGTGAAGCCTCGCCTCAAAACTCATCACCTCTGGACTCATTGAAAATACGTTCTGGCATAAGAAAATCTTCAAATTGATCATTTTAACGGTTATAATTATGGTTATGAAAAAAAACTATGATGTGAAATCCTAAAAACAACGTATATTGCAACACATTATCTAGACCGTTCATTTTGAAGCGTTCACAGATTTATTAGATCAATATCATTTTTTTAGTCTGTTGAAAAAAATACGGTCCAACAGTCGAAGCAGAAGCAAAATAAAACAATCGGAAATCAGATATCATACTCGAGTGCTCGTACAACAATTTTGGTGAACAAATGTGGAGATGAATGATCAACTCCTGTAGGCATGTTCGACAACTACTAGAGTTGCCGAAATCAATTCCATACCACAAATCCCGAGCGAGGTGAAAACTCATGAACACTCCAACAGATGCGAGCAATCCAAACTCGACTCTCACGCACAACTTTTATCACTGGCCAGATTTTTACTAGATCTCAAATAGGAGAGGGATTGAATTCTCTCTCTTACTCTTTTTCGATCTCTTAAGGAGAGCTCTCACAGCTCTCACACATTTCTTGTGTGTATTGTAGTGTATATGGAGACCTCCACCCCTCCCTATTTTATAATGAGAGAAAATACCTTCTCATAAAGAGTTGTAACCTCATGAAGAGGTGTAACCCCCTCATGAAGAGGTGTAACCCCATGAAGAGATGTAAGCTTTCTCCATGAAGAGGTGTAAGTTTTCCCTCATGAATAGGTGTAAGCTTTCCATGAAGGGAGTATGGTCCGCGTGGGTGTTCTCTCATACTAAAGATGCACCCTCATGTCTACATCTCCTACTCATCCCATATGTGGGAGGGTTATATGCTCAAACAAAAGTTGTCGCTCATTATCGCATCATGAGTATTATTTCATACAAATGCAAAAATACGGTATGCGACCTACTGGAGCAAACATTATATTAGAGAGGACCACACCAAATTTCCAACCAACTAGGATGGAACACCTCATCTCTCCAACACCTGCAAAATAAAAACTGTTCTGCTTGCCCTAGACCAGATTTGCCCACACCGGACAAAGTTCTCAACTAATCCCTCATGAGCCAAGCTCAAACAATTACTTAGCCTATTCGTACACAATCACTGTCAATGGGCGCGTAATGTGTATTGTTTTCTTATGGTACCAAAACAAAGTGTGATATCAAATAATCTTCCCTTACAACATACATTATTATACTTTGACCCCGACCATTATCTCAGCAATGTCTCAGACAAGTCTCACACTTGACCCTAAGGAGTACATGCCAAAGTGAATGATCGAAGTAAAGTTTCCTAATGCAGCCTAAGGTCCATAAGGCATCATGGATCACCTACTTATTAGCCTCGACAGTGGCAAAAAGGAACATGATCTTCTTTTTTCATATGAGTAGGTGTTTTAATTACTTATATAACCTGTATAGTCATGCAATTGGTCGCCACCTAGCGCCCCACAATCATATCCATGTGTCAACTTGAACATCCTTGATGTTCATCCTTGGCTACTTACAGGCTACATGATATTCGGGATGTCAATTTAAACTGATCATGTCAATTCCCTTATGGAATCTCATCTCAAACCATTGGTTGAGGCGATAAATACACCACATGTATATCTCATTCTCCAATATCTCATAAATTGAGGGTAGCTCATGCGAGTAGTAAGCTTTGGTCTGTCGACAAATTAAATGATAATATTTGCTGTGGGTGAATTAAACTGCACAAACAATCCATTATAACACCAAATAACATCTATATTTCTTATAATAGTGTACTAAGATCCTCTAAACTCATAGGATCCTGAGGCCCATAATTCTTACATGAGTCTGATGTACAGTCTTGACAATTACCTTAGTTATAGGATCTGCCACCATTTTAGTTGTAGGAATATGAGTTAGTACCACATGTCCATGTGCAATAATATCTCGAATATAATGATATCTAACATCAATATATTTTGGCTTTCCGTGGTACTTTGGATCTTTAGCAAAAGCAAGTGCTGCTGTATTATCACAAAATATAGTGATATGCTTATTACTAGTTACGATGACACCTAAGTTCCTTAGGAATCTTCTCAACCATATGACTTATTGTACTGTTCCACTACAAGTAATGTATTCAGACTCCATAGTGGAGAGAGCGACACAGGACTGCTATTTGCTATACCATGTGACTGCACTGCCTCATAGCAAGAAGACATAACCTGAAGTCGATTTACGCTCATCTAGATCTGTTGCGCAACCAGCATCATTGTATCCTTGTAACCACAAATCAGTTCCTTGAAAATATAACATCTGACTTGAGGTTCCTCGAAGGTATCGAAAAATCCTTTTCACAGCTTGCCAATGACCTTGTCTTGAGTTATTCTGATATCGGCTAACAAGACCCACTGCATAAGCAATATCTGGACACGTGCAGAGCATCGCGTACATCAAACTACCAACTGCACTTGCATATGGAACACGAGACATTTTGTTCCTCTCAGTTTCTGTCTGCAGGCACATGTCAAGACTTATAGTATGCCCCATCTCAATTGGAGTATTTATGGGTTTTGAGTCTTGCATACGAAATTGCTCAATAATCCTTTGGATATATGTTTCTTGTGATATAGTAAGAAACCTTTGAGAGCGATTTCGATGTATATTAACACCGAGTATATAACTCGCCTCACCCATGTCCTTCATCTCAAATTTAGAGGACTACCACTTCGTCATGGCAACAAGTTGCTCCAGGTCATTCTCAGCTAATAGAATATCGTCAACATACAAAGACAATATCTTGATGCTTTTTTTATACTTCTTAATGTATACACAATGGTCTTCATGAAGCATTTAAAAACTATAAGTTATTATAGCTCTATGAAATTTGATATACCATTGTCTTGATGACTGTTTAAGACTATATATGGACTTCTTGAGCTTGCATACTTTGCGCTCAAAGCTAGGGGCTACAAAACCTTTAGGTTGCTCCATATAGATCTCTTCCATCAAGTCACCATTTAGAAAAACAGTTTTTACATCCATTTGGAAGAGTTCCAAGTCCATATGTGTGACGATTGTTAGGATTAGGCGAATTGATGTCATTCTCACCACCGAGGAGAATGTCTCTTCATAGTTCACTCCCTCAACTTGGGTGAACCCTTTCGCCACTAAACAAGTTTTATACTTATCTATAGTTCCATCTGCCTTCCTCTTGATTTTCAATGCCCACTTTTTTCCAATTGATCTTCTATTAGGTGGTAGATCCACAAGTTTATAGACTTGATTCTGCTATATAGAATTAAACTCATCTTTCATAGCAGACATCTACTGGTCCACAGCAAGAGCATTCAAGACCTCTTGGAATGAGCTTGGCGTATCAACATCAAGTGAAATACGTGAGACCCTCTACTTGGAAGTGTCTACGAGAAACTTTCCCACGTTGACTTTTTCAAAGTTCAACCTCGATCCACTCTCAATAAGTATCTCTAACATGGTCGGTGACTCAATATGGGTCATATGCTCATTCTCAACCAGTGGCTTACTCCCAATACCATTGACAATCATGGGAAGACTCCCACTATTACCTTCAAGTGAAGAAACTATTTCAACGTTTGTATGAGATTCAAGCTCTTCATAGAGCTCTTCAGATATACGAGACCGTTTATTGTTAAGGAATTTTGTCTCTATAAAATCTATATCGTGAGATTTTATTTTCTTCATCCCACCACCATCATGTTCTTGATAGAACACATATCCGTTTGAGTGCTAAGAATATCTCATAAAAATGCATTTGAGAGACCACATGTCTTGTTTCCCTATCAAA